ATCCGATCATTTTTCTTTTTAACGAATTTAAACGTTTTAGACCGATACATTCATGATTTTATTTTAAGCTTCACTAATTTGACTTGGTTTTAAAAAAAATGGATCGGTCTCATTTTCGTTCGTTTTGTTTTCTTTTTTTAACGGTCAAGTTAAAAATGAGAATTTCCGATTTAATTATATTCAAAAATGATTCACAGTCTTAAGGGGAAAGAGAAAAAGAGAGAAAATTAAAAATAAGATTTGGATCTTCGAGGTGATAAAACCTAAAGGGGGATAGAATAGTGAACCATCCACCATTCCCTTTGCATATGAAAGATGAAACTTTAGGGATTGGAAGAAAGTGAGAGTTTAGATAACAATTAAGGACATGGATTGAAAAGATTAGTAGACCTGCACTTAAGTCCTTTAAGTTTGGAATAAACCTACATCCAATTGTTCTAATTAGATTTGAAGCACACTTCAAAACCCTTTTGCCAAAGCTATAGGTTTATCCCTTAGGTTTTAGGAGTCTGGTGGTGAGTTAAGCTTAATCTAAAGAGGTTTGAGGGTTAGTTGAAAGACACTTAGTTGAAATTAGACACTTCAGAACATCCCAGGTTCAAACTAAAAGTGTAGGCATCCTAAATCTTAGGAGCACACCTTAAGAGAGAGTTTATCATCCTAATTTTCAAATAATCCTAAGATGTCAGACATCTGACCCCAGTTTATGAGATAACTAGGATACTAGGCACGATGGTGCACTAGATTGTGATTCATGACAGATTTAATTAGATCAAATAATGAAATTCTTACCTTAACTTGACCAAAACTGAAACCCAATATTCCGGGAATTGAGTTTGTCTTACACTCAAATCCTCCTGGCAATTGGGGGCATTTCAATATCACATATAAATTTTCTATATTTGGTCTTTTATATGTGATATTGTATTTCATTTTATTTGTTTATCTTTTTCCTACGATTTACCTGTTTCTGTTAAATCCTTTTTCAGGTCATACTTTCCTCTTTTACACAGCGCATAATAGCTAAACTTAAATGATCAATGACCCTATCATTTTATTTGTTTATCTTTTTCCTACGATTTACCTGTTTCTGTTAAGTCCTTTTTCAGGTCATACTTTCCTCTTTTACACAGCGCATAATATCTAAACTTAAATGATCAATGAACCTACCAGGTGTACAGGTTTAATTTATATTACAGCATTTTATTTTCCTAGCATGTTACATTGTTTTCGTAGCCTGTTATATTATTTTTTCAGCATATTATATTGTCTTTTCTCTTTTCTGTACAGTACATTGTTACTTTGCTTTCACACTGCATGTTTAGTTACTTTGATATGCTATGCCTTAGTATAGAATAACCTAGTGATTAAGAGCATTTTCAAAATTAAAACTAAACCAGGAGGTGCTACTACGAGAAGCTTGGAATTATAAACTAAACCAGGAGATGCTAAAATTAAAACTAAACCAGGAGGTGCTACTACGAGTAAAATTAAAATGTTACATTTAGAGGTGCTAAAATTAAAATGTTACATTTAAAAATAAAAAAGGTTATATTTATATTTAAATTATTTTCAAAATCATAAAATCATCAAATCACCTCTTTCAAATCACAAAGTTTAAGTGAAGGTTAAAAAAAAGAAAACGGCCGACATTTGGACAAATAAAATTGAGGCCAGATAATGCGGAGTTTATAATTGAGATAGCACAGATATAGTAGCGACATTTACATGCATACAACATAATTCTCATATATTTACATATCTAACGCCTAAACGAAAATATATACATACATACACTCAACTCTTTAACATCACATCAAAAATATTACTATCATTATCATTTTATAACTAAAATACAGCTCCTAATGCATAATAAATTATTACAAGGCGGGTGTTAGACATGTAAATATATAAGAATTATGCAGAATGCATGTAAATTTCCCGATTTAGTAATGCTGAAAAAAATGCAACTGAAGCAAAGTTTGAGAACGATGTGATTAAATAACAAAATCTTAATTTACCGGGGCTGATGTTTGCTGAGTAAGCTTTCCATAATCTTATCAGAGTGGGAAACACCAGGAAGAGAGTTCTGTTGGGAACGTTTAAGTTTAGCTTGATTAAGCAAAACCATTTTCCCTTCTTTTTCTTCATGAATATCAAGATTTTCATCATCTCCGAATTCAAAGAGATGAAGAATCTCCTCTTTCGACATGGTTCGATGTATCTGTTGCCGGTCGACAACCCGAGCGGCAAGCCCTTCCTTTGTCACCTATTTCAAAGCAACAAACTATAGCAAGTTATCTTTGGAACTAATTATTACCAAATTTTTAAGCACATACCAACCAATTTGTATGTATTTACAAATCTAACATATAATATTTTATTTGTTACATTTATGTTACCGAAATCTTTCATGTCACATAAAAAATACGACTTTTTTAACTTATAAGTAGAATACACCCTTTAACGCATAGATAAAGCGGTGTTTATGTAAGAATTGAAAGAGTTGAAGTTTAAGTGTTAGATATGTAAATAGATAAAAATTGAGTGGTATGTATGTAAATTTTCCATATTATTATCATCACCAACCTTATCCCAACTACTGGGGGTCAAACTTAATAAATCTTCATTTTCCATCATTTATATTGAGCATGAGTTTTCCTAGGATTCCAAGTAAGAAAAAACGAACACAGGATCGTACCTGTCTCTTGTAGATCTTTTCTTCCATGGCGCCATGTGCCAATAACCGGTAAGCATAAACAGGTTTATTTTGCCCATATCTACAAAGATTTAGAATGGATAACATGAAGATATCGAACAATAGTGGAGCAAGGCATAGTGCCAATATTTAAAGGGGCCTTTTCATACATAGACCAATTCTTACGTATTTATATGTCTAACACCTAAACATAGCACTTTTGGTTCTTTAACCTATGCATGAAAAGCTGCATTTCACTTTTAAAAAATGGTTATGATGCACTCAAATCTTTAATATCACAAAAAAATAGTATTATTATCACTTTTTAAAAGTAAAATAAAGCTTTTCTTGCATAGGTTTAAAGCACCGAAGGTGCCATGTATGTACATATGAAAGTTTAGGTGTGAGATGTGTACATACATAAGAATTGTGTACTAAGTATGTAAATTTTCCATATTTAAATGTAAATCATTGTTCAGGGCATGCCTCCAAACACGAAATATGGCTTGAAGATCATAAGTTGGATTCCATGAACCATCGACGAGGATAACTCGATTAGCGGCATGAAGGTTTATTCCCAGAGATCCAGCTCGAGTAGATATTAGTGTGCATTTTACCCTTGTATTTGTCGGCTCGTTGAATCTCTCAACAAGCTTTTGCCTCTCTAAACCATCGGTTCTTCCATCTAACCTGTTCAGCGTGTGTACTCAGTCGACTCTAAAAAGTATTAATTCTAAACCAAAAATAACATTATTTTTTAAAGAGAATGTACATGAAGAAGCATAAGCAAGCAAATATGCCCATTATTTCATTTAATGTTAAAACACGACTCTAAAAAAATAAAGAAAAAAGATAACGGCCAGCTCAAAATCAACTTTGAGGCAGCTATAGTCATTTGTAACGGGCATCGCATACATTTCACACAACTCTTAAGTATGTAAATATCTACCACGTAACATTTATATTTAGGTTCACATCGCTCAAACTTCGAATATCACATAAAAAAATATCACAATCACCGTCTTTTTAAAAGTGAAGTACACCTTTTAATGCACATGTTTATGATACCAAGGTTTTATAAGTGTAAATATAAAAATTTTGGTATTAGATATGAAAATACATAAGAATTGTGTGGTATGTATGTAAATTTTCCGATTGTTAAAGTAGGGCTGCTGTAAGAAAATAACTTTTTTTAATAGCTATCGTAGGAAAAATAATTCCTCTCCATTTCATTTTTTTATTATTATTTTTTTTAATTATTATTTTTCTGAAAAGGAAAAGTCAGACGTTTACTTACAATTAGTTGAGAAACATTAACCAAATGTAAGTGTGCAAAACAGTGAAAAACTGCCCCCCAAACAAACTTTTAACCATTTGTATAGGTTAGCAGAAAATAAAATAAATAATAACGGAATTCTAATTAAAATGGTAAGAAAAAATATACTACATTCTAAATTCACAAACAAACAAGAAAAGGGGTCATTTACATAAATACCATCTAATCCCAATGTATTTACATATCTAACACCTAAAATTTACTTTTTCACATTTGTACCACCCAAATCTTTCAATGCGCATCAAATATACCATCATTTTAACTTTAAAAAAAGTAAAATACATATTTTTAGGCATAAATAAAGTTGCATATATTTAGGAACTGAAGTTTAAGTGTTAGATATGTAAGTACAAAAGAATTGAGTGGTATTTATATAAATCTTCCAAACATACCTATACCAATCCTTGCCTTGTTTCCAATATTTCCCTTCTGATCCTTTTCGGGGTAATTTTGATAAGAAATGTTCAATCAGATCGAGTGTCGTCAAGCTTTGGCTAAACACTAATGCCTTATCACCAATTTTCGAACTCATTGATAGGATATCAAGAAGTATAACCATTTTACCACTGTATTCAACTTCCTTGTACATCTTATCATTAAGAAGATCTTTCCACCACCACTCACTCTCCTGCAAAAACAAGATGGTAAGAAATGAAGGTGTTTAATAGGAATGAGTGAAAAAGATTTGTTTTAATAAAAGGAAGACTTACATACATACTACTCAATTCCAATATATTTACATATCTTAACACCTGAACTTCAAGTTTTACATGTATGTCATCTTACGTATACATGAAAAGGTGTATTTCACTTTTTAAAAGTTAAACTAGTAGCATTTTTTATGTCATGTGAATAATTTGGGTAGCATAAATGTAAAAAGTAAAGTATAGCTGTTAGGTGTGTAAATACATAGGAATTTGGTGGTATGTATATAAATGCCCCATAATAATAATGATTAAAGGTTGAGATTACTCTTGATAGTGATTGACACAGAAAAATCAAGCATAGCATAAGTTTCCATACCTCATGATTCAATTTAGGCATAAAATTATTCTTGCACTTCAGCTTTTCTGTTAATCACAAAATATAATCAATCACTTGCTTATAGTATAAATTAAATAACAGAACAGTGCATAATCAAGCTCATGAAAAAGTTGAATCTTCATAAATGAAATTTCACCAAGTTCTATTAAAACCAAGTGTATGTAATATGACAGTAAATCAAATATTCATGAAAAGGCTGAATTGAGTGTCAATTTAACAAAGCTGAATCCTATAATCATGAGTTAAATTTTGATTAAATGATCAAAATAGTTTCCCCAATATTCGTATGTGGCCAGAGAATCACATTTCTCCAATTAAATACCTTATCTAATACAAAATGGATAGAAAATGATCTCTCATATAGAATTTTTAATACAAAATTGATCTTAGTTTACAAATGATTGCAATTTTGCCACTAAGAAACCATTTCAGATTACTTTTGTATAGTCAGTGGCAAAATCAAACAAACATGATACGCTGCAACTAAATTAGCCCCATATAAATAATTGAGAAATTATTTAGGATTTAACCCGTTAAAATTTTCTCCAACTTCAACCAAATCCTCTTCGTATTTATCTTCCTAAAACATGCATTCAGTACATTATGTAAGAAATCGTAAGGCTTTACATCTTGATAACATTAAGATCAAATTTCGCTCCCCTCTCCCTTGCTTTGGTTTCATCCCTCAAAAACATGAGAAAGTTATAGATAACCCATACTGCTTCCTCCTGCCCCTCTTTAATTGCTTCTACATTCACGCTTCTATTTTGTCTCATTCAACTAATCACCGCAAATGTGTGTTTTCAGTGTATCTCTATGGTTCTAATTTAATGATTGAGAAATATACAAACATACCATGAAATTCTTATGTATTTACATATCTAAACCCGAAGTTTGATATTTACATTTATAACATTTTGATAATACAAACATGTGCATGAAAGATTCACTTTTAAAAAGGTAATAATAGTGATATTTTTGATGTGATGTTGAAGATTTGAGAGGTTTGGATGGAAATATCAAAGTTTAGGTGCTAGATATGTAAAAGTATAATAATTGTGTGGGGTATGTATGTGAATGACCCTTAATGATTATGCCAATATAACTTTTGAGCTCACAAAATAGCACAGCTCAATGTTAATTAAAAAAGCACAATCATTTAGATGAAACTTAAATCCGTATCAAATAAAACCCGTGACACCCATAAACCAGTCCAAGTACAATTTCAATAAGCTGACCAAAAACAGCTTATAATATTGATTTTTTTAGCACGAAACTAAACCACGTAATAATCGTAAATAATAATAATAATAATAATAATAATAATAGACTTGATAGTTCGGTTCAAAACCATCTAAACGGTTTCATCTTTATGAGACAAACTTTCCATTCGAACCAGACAATGAGAAGCAAGTGGATACAGAGAAAGTAGTGAGCAGGGAGAAAGAGGAGCGACGGCTTTGAAACCTCGAAGTAAAGATGATACAATTTTTTTGGCTCAGGAGATGAGTGCATCGGCATCCACCGAGTGTGTCGAGGGTGTGGAGGCGAACAACGACAACGCTTGGATGTATGGGAGGCTTTGATGCCACAGTTGTTCACCCAACGTAAAAAGGAAGAGAAGACGTGTGCGAGATGCTGCACTACGGGTTCGGAATGTAGAGATGAGGCTAAAGTCGAGTGGGGTTTTCCCTCTTGTGTGTGTCCTATGATGAGGAGAAGGGAGATGGCTTGTGGTAGAAGGGAGCGAGTCGCATGTTGGAGTGCCGAGTCATTGAGGCAAGGATTATAGGTTTTATGTTTTAATAATGTAAATGGTTTGATTTATTTAAGAAAATAATATTAAATTAATTTTAAGTTTTATCAAACAATATTGATGATTATAATTGATTGAACAATCAAATTAAATGATTCGAAGAGATAAAAATTGGCGATTATGCAAAAGAAGAAGAGATGTAGTGAAAAAAGTTTAGGGGTAATTTTTCTTTGAAGATTTTAAATATTTAATTAAAAATTATTAATTATTAATTATTTTTTGATGGATTATGTGAGAAATTAAATATTTTGATTTGATCAGATCAATATAATTGGAAGAGGCATTCAAAGAAAGAACAATTAAAGAAATTTGTTAGTTCAAAAATTTAAACGAATCTATTTTATTGAGGTCTTAGTTTCCTACTCCCTGGAACCTAAAATTTAACCTTAGGAGTTCCTTGTTGACCATCTTAGTAGACTGGTAATGGAGCCCATCTCCCGTAGAACTTCAAACCACTTTTTGACATGTTTTGTGAAGAACTCGCATGAGTGATTCCAAGCACTCAACTCCTAGTTGCAAGGGCTAAGGACCAACATGTAGAGAGCCCGAAAATGAGTTCCTACACAATCAGAAGGCCTTAGGTGAACCCTCCGTGACTCAGCAACGCACTCACTACATGCACGAAGTTGACACATTTTTTTGGCTCGACCGTCGGTGAACTTGTCTGGACGACCCCGGATGACGAACGGACTGTGCCGGCGCGTCCGAAGCGTCGAACTTGGTTAGAAATGACACCCATATCACTATGTTTATGCACTTGCACAAACAACATGAAAATCGATGCACATTTTTTTAATTAGCGGGACGCGGGCCCGGGCTCAACCCAGGTTCGACTCGGGCAAGGCACCAACTCACCTAAATTTGAATTTCAAATTTCAAACTTCAAATAAATTAAATATAATCAGGTGGTAATTTTATTTCCAACCTCCCTGCTAATGGAAGTCCACCAATTGCTTCAAGTAACGGCTCCTTTCATTAATTCGGCCCCGCTCCTTTCTAAAAGAACGCTTGCCTTCTTCCTCTGGCTTTGGGCCTCACGCAAAGAAGCCGCTCCTCTTCTTTTCCTCTGCACCGAATACTCCGGATTCGCTTCTCCCGCTCGTCGATTCTCCTCCTCCACCGAATACTCCGGATTCGCTTCTCCCGCTCGTAGATTCTCCTCCTCCCCGCACCAAAATTCGCTCCCCCCTCTGCACCGAAAACCTTCCGCCACTCCCTTTCTTGTGCTCGAGACCCTTCGGACTCCCTCTTGCTCCTCACGCTCGATCCCAAACACCCCTTCCTCCACACAACGAAGCCGCTCGCCTTTTCCTCGCTCGACATCAAAGCTCCCCTCGACACCGAAACCCCGAGCTACTCGCCCAGAAACCTTTGTCCCTCTCTCGGCATCCTCCTTCGCCCCCGCTCCTCCTCTGCGACCCGAAAGTTGCTGCTCCTCGATTCTTCTTTTCGTTCGTTCGCCCTACCTCCTTCCCCACGTCAAAACTCTCCCTGCATTGGACTCCTTACTTCTGCACTAGAGTCCACCGCTCGATCCCACTCCCGCTCGCCTCAGCTCCTCCTCTTCACTGCGCCGAAGCTCGGTTCCTCAACAAATTCTTCCTCCCTGTTCTCGACAAATCCCGCTCGCCTTCTCCCCTCTCGGCACCAGAACTTGTTTCGCCTTTCCCGCTCGGCTGGTCTCCTCTTCACTGCGCCGAAGACCCCTGCCTCCCGCTCGGTCCTTTCGCTCGATCAAAACCCCAGCTACCCGCTCCTTCGTCTTTCGATCGTCCAAACTGCAGGATTCCGAAGACTGTTTCTCTATCGTGAACAAACGGTTTCCATTTCTAAGCATCTCAAAACAGGTTTCAATGGTTTATCTTGCTTCTTTTATTCCCCCAACATTGCTAATCGATTTTATTATTCATGATAGCTATTCTAAGATGCTTATGATTAGCTCAAAATTTCCAGTCACTTTGTAATTATTAGCATGCATGAGTAATTTCACATCCCGTGAACGTATTCATATTTAATGAATTGGACCCACTGTTCAATGCATCGAATTTTCGAAATCTGCCATGGGATGTTCATGTGGTACTTGGGTATTGAAAACTTTCCCAAGTAAATTTGTTCTCTCCTGATCTTGATAGAAATCTGTTAAATTTAATCGTGAAATACTTTCCTTCACCTTCAAAATTTAGGCTCCATGCTCTAATGCCATTGCTGAAAGCTTCTTGTGTGAACTCATCTCTGATCTGTATGGAACATTGTCACTTGATGGAGAAGGAAGTTTTTAATTGAAGTTGAATGAGGAATTTGTTGATGAATATGTTTATGAAGTTTACAGTTATTAACTTAGCTCGTGAATTGTTTAATGAAATGTATTATCTTTTACAATACACATAAACTACTTGTTGAATTGGAAGTTTTAGAATGCATGGATGTTGTTTTGAGCCTTATAAACTTGCGATTTTGGAAGAATAAAATGCAGCTTTGGCCATACATGCTTATTAATTTTGGAGAATTATAAACACTATTATTATAAACACTTTGGAGAATTATAAACACTATTTTGATTATACGTTATTGCTGATTTTAAATACTCCGTTCTTGGTTCATGTTTCAAGCACTTAAATGCAATATTGTGAGGTTCCAATGACCATTTACATGCTGATCTTAAATATTTTGTTGCTGGTTATATGTTTCAAGCACTTAAATGCAAACATTGTGAGGTTCCAATGACAATTTATTTGTTGATCTTAAATACTCATTTGTTGATTGCGTGCTTCGAGCACTCTAAAGGGAATACTACGAGGCTCGAGATGACCGTTATTCCAGGGCTTGAAAGCTTCTTTGCAGGTCTATATTCTTTTATTTCCGAATGCCTCCCTTGGGGGTTGTTTTACCTGTTGTTTGGTGGGTTTAAACATTGCAATTTTTAGGGCTTTGTTTACCGATTCACGTACTATTTTAAAGGCAATTTGTTAACTTATTTTGGAGAGTTTACACGCTATTTTGGACTGGATTTCCTAGCTAATTTTGGGACATTTAAAATTGATGAGAGCAGTTTGAGAATTTTAAAATTACTGTTTTAGGGCTGATTTTGAGAGTTTTGTCTATTGTTTTGGGGATGATTTTGATAGCTTTATTTACTGTTTTGGTACTGAATTTTGAGAGTTTTGTCTATTGTTTTAGGGCTGATTTTGAGAGCTTTGTCTGCTGTTTTGG